CAGAAACAGAGCTTCCACTGGGTCCCTACCACCTATAGCACTGATCCCAAGTGCTCTGTGCCTACTACAGCTAGCCGCTGTACCTGTGTACTCAATTTCTTTCAGGTTGATTTCGAGCACATCAATTTTCGCTTCCTACAAGGACCTGTTTTATCCTCCACCTGATCCCTTCCCAGCCCCGCCCATTCCCGAATCCACTACGTGGTGACGACAATTGCCACTAGCCCTACGGCTACAGTAATCCGGCTAGAACAAATGTTTGCTTTGGCTCGATTTAATGGGCGACAAGTGTTCACAGAGCGTCGGCATTAACCTATTCCAAATCCTCCGCCACTATCAGCGTATCATGCAACCTACCATCGATCGATCAATCAATCAATAAACCTTTTCCTCCTGAATTCGACTTTTCCTGGTGATATTTTTGGTTGATGACAGCACAATGAGCGACTTTGCTGTGTTTTTTTTTCTGTCATTAACCAGTTGTATGGCATGATAGAGGCGCCAGTTACCGTAATCCAAAGTGATTTATGGTACTGTAATTATAGACGTGTGGCGCCCAAAGATAGCCTATCTATTTGTTAAAGCTGTCATTTACTGAGAACGGGAACCTTAACTGTGGTGTTGAAATGGGCGCTTCGCGCCAAAAAGGTCATCAAAAGGGTTTCTGGGAACACATAGGGCGGTCTGGGAGCTTCGCGATAGGTTTGTGCAGCAGAACGTTTTTTGCCCTTATCATCGATGGTCATTGTGATAACCCGGTCGAGCACTTATTTCCTTGGCAGGCTGCTATCACCATGTCAACAAAAACCGCTTTATTTTGAAACTTGATTCCCATTTTTGGAAAGCTTCATTTTCGATCTTGTCCTACCAGAAGTGCGAAACACTAAATTCGATTTTCTCAATTTTTTTGTGCATGGTTCGTTCTCAGTGCTTAACATCTGTTTTGCCCTCTCACGGTTGAACATTTTCATCAAGTCACTGGAGATCTTCCTTATTAGCTCTTATTACTGAAAATAACTAGAGTTTTAAGCACCATTTCAGAATCCACTTTCCATTAGTCCACACAATCCTTTGCAAAACTACTTGGTAAAGATGAAAATCGAAGAAGCTCATTAGCTTTCCTTCAGCAGTGATGCTGGAGAATCTACACGATGGCAGAGTAGCATTGTTGCTAAGACCGTCAACAGATGATTTTTCTTCTGTCAGATTCAAGATGGCAGTTATTAGGTAAATCTAAAGGAACCTTTGGGAGCCTCTATGCTTTTCGAACGTCCTGTGGACCATTCTCCATTGCTGCAATCTTTTCAGTCTCCTACATATTCTCTTCCTTTCTATCCTTTTCTTTCTCTTCCTTTCTCTCTCTTTATACACTTATCATACCTATATTTCAATCTCTGAGCTTTGTTTTTTTTTCAGATTTTCTTTCCTTTTTCTGATTGCCAAATCGTATTTAATTATTCCTTTTTTCTGATAAGTAGTCGCGAGTATGACAATGGTAGGTTGCCTCATTTTCATAGATCGACAGATCCAAACCCCAATTGAGGCTTATATCAGTTTTTGCTGGTGAGTCCCAGCTTTATTGAAGATGGGTTCTGGCTTGAACGTTACTTGGCTATCAAAGGCCGTTGTGTAGACCCCATACACAATGCCAAGCCATCAAGAAAGTGGAGTGAAATGTAACCCCTTCTAGGGAAGGAAAGATGTTTTCTTCAATTATTCATTTTTTGATTTGTTTATTCATTCCTAGTCGATCTCAGGTAGGTTGTATGACCAGAGACGTGAAAAGAACCTACACAAAACACCACAACAATATACTTATTTGTTCATTTACTGTTTATACCATTGAAAGCGCAAGAGAAGGCATTTGAACCGTATATTGTTCAAACGAATGGACTAATGAGCGTTGTTTGGATAAGCCCAATGAGGACAGGTGTCTACAAGCTCTTCGGATGAAGCGGACTAGCTCTGTAATATAACCGTCACAAGGCTAAGTAAACAAATTTATATGGGAACTGTATGTAATCCACCAAGCTGTTCCCCTCAGTTGCTCACTTTCGCTGACTCTCATGGGGTGTTCTGAATATTTTCTATTTTTAGCAAAAAATCTTGATTATAAATAGTGATGAGTACTTGTTTGTGTAGCTGATGGGATCTCGTGTTGAGTTTACCTAAAATCACACATTTTTGCCACCACCTGACTCGGTCGTTGACGTGAAGGTGTGTAATCTGCCGATTTTCGCGAGGTCACTGTGATTAATGAACTCTCCCAGTAAAGACCCCAAACGATGGAAAAGGCGACAGATGACCCTT